CAAGCTGATGGCATGTTACAGTACACCAGTTTATCAAAGAAGTGAATGAACGAACTATGAAAAGGGAAATGCGTGAATTGGGTCCACTTAACTGAAGTGCATTCATTCAAGTGTTGTGTAAGACAAAAGATGAAGAAAGGAATATTACGGAATGACTAAACACACTATGCGTGCCTTTTCCTAATTTTACTCGTTCGCCTGGTGGAAATTATTCATTTATCAACTTTACTACAAGTACATTATCCGTTTGACAAGAATGCATTTGGTATAATTTAGTCGTTCAACAATAACGCCAACAGTATGAGCAGCGGCGGTGGTGGTCTGTCTTGGGGTGGCGGTGGTGGTGGTGGATATTTGCCTTTTTACGGCGGTGGTGGAGGTGGATATACGCCTTACTACGGCGGTGGCGGTATATCAGCAGGCGGCGGGGGTGAACCGTCAGGTGGTGGTGCTGTAAATTCATTTAACGCCAATGAAGTTGGAAGCGGGGTTTGTTTTATTGTTCATAAAATATTACATTTATTGTGCGTTTTGTACTGTGTAACAGCAGGATAAAACGCATATCGTTACAGGGTTGTTTGTTTGTGTGCGTGTGTCCGAGATTTTGTCCCGCATTTTCAACTCGGGAACACAAAAGCTAGGCGGCGGAAATTTTAATAGATTGTTCTCCGCCCACTGGTGATCCCGCAAATTTAAATTCACTCTCCCCATATCCGCGGATAACACGTACGGCCCTCTAAAAGTTTTGGCGGGTAAAATCATTATCTCGGGAACCACAAAAGCCAGGAAGCTGAAAATTTAGGGCGACGTTCCCCATCCAAGTGTGATCCCGCAAATTTAAATTCAACTTTCCCATACCCGCAGACAACATGTGGGGTCGCGTAAAACTTTTGGCGGATAAATTATCATCTTGGGAATCACGGAAGCCAGTGAGCTGAAATTTTATGTGTATGTTCCCCGCCCACGTGCGACCCAGAAAATTTAAATTCAACCTTACCGCACACTAGGGTGTCACGTACGGTCCCGTCAAAGTTTTGGTGGGAAAATTACCTGTGGCACCATAAAAGCCGGAAAGCTGAAATTTGACAAGAATATTATCTTACCGAGTGCAACCCTGGCATAGGCGGA